GCAGTTGCACACTGAACCACTGAGGCAGACTGGCCGAGTTTTTTTTTCTATTCATGTGTGGGATGTGGGCATCACTGGCTGGCCAGCATTTCATGCCCATCCCTAGTTGCCCTTGAGAAGTGGTGGGGAGCTGCCTTCTTGAACTGCTGCAGTTGTCCCGCTATGGGTTGACCCACAATGCTGTTAGGGAGAGAATTCCAGGATTTCGACCCAGTGACAGTGAAGCAATAGTGATACATTTCCAAGTCAGGATGGTGAGTGACTTGGAGGGGAACTTGGAGTTGGTGGTGTTCCCATATGTCTGATGTCCTTGTCATTCTCGATGGAAGTGGTCATGGAAGGTGCTGTCTGAGGATCTTTGGTGAATTACTGCAGAGCATCTTGTCGATAGTACACACTGCTGCTACTGAGCATCGGTGGTGGAGGAGGGAGTGGATGCTTGTGGATGTAGTGCTAATCAAATGGGCTGCTTTGTCCTGGATGGTGTCAAGGTTCTTGAGTGTTGTTGGGGCTGTACTCATCTAGGCAAGTGGGGATTATTCAGCTACACTCCTGACTTGTGCCTTGTAGATGGAGGACAGGCATTGAGGAGTCAGGAGGTGAGTTACTCGCCACTGTATTCCAAGCTTCTGGCCTGCTCTTGTCACCACTGTGTTAATGTGGTGATCCAGTTGAGTTTCTGGTCAATGGTAACCCCCCAGGATGTTGATAGTGGGGGAGTTCAGTGATGTAACACCATTGAATGTCAAGGGATGGTGGTTAGATTGTTTCCCATTGGCGTTGGTCATAGCCTGGCATTTGTGTGGTGTGAATGTCATTTGCCATTTGTCATCCCAGGCCTTGATATTGTGCAAGATCTGGACTGCTTCAGTATCTGAGGAGTCATGAGTGGTGCTGAACATTGTGCAGTCATCGTCGAACATCCCGACTTCTTACCTGATGATGGAGGGAAGGTCATTGATGAAGCAGCTGAAGATGGTTGGGCCTGGGACACTACCCTGAGGAACCCCTGCACAGAAGGCCTGGAGCTGAGATGATTGACCGCCAACAGCCAAGACCATCTTCCTATGTCTCCACTGGAGAATTTGCTGCCTGATAACCATTGATTCCAGTTTTGCAAGGGCTCCTTGATGCCACACTTGGTCGAATGCAGCCTTGATGTCAAGGGCTGTCACTCTTACCTCACCTCTGGAATTCAGCTGTATTGTCCATGTTTGAACCAAGGCTGTAATGAAGTCAGGAGCTGAGTGGTCATGGCAGAACCCAAATTGGGCGTCACTGAGCAGGTTCTTTCTGAGCAGGTGCTGCTTGATAGCACTGTTGATGACACCTTCCATCAATTTACTGATGATCGAGAGTAGACTGATGGGGCGGTAATTGGCCATGTTGGGTTTGTCCTGCTTTTTGTGTACAGGACATAACTTGGGCAATTTTTCCACATTGTTGGGTAGATACCAGTGTTGTTACTGTACTGGAACAGCTTGGGGAGGGGAGCAGCAAGTTCTGGAGCACACGTCTTCATTACAATTGCTGGAACGTTGTCAGAGCTCATAGCCTTAGCAGTATCCAGTGTCTCCAACCGTTTCTTGATATCACGTGGAGTGAATCGAATTGGCTGAAGACTGGTATCTGTAATGCTGGGGACCACTGGAGGAGGCCAAGAGACACTTCTGGCTGAAGATTGCTGCGAATGCTTCAGCCTTATCTTTTGCACTGATGTGCTGGGCTCTTCCATCATTGAGGATGGGGATATTTGTGGAGCCGCCTCCTCCAGTGAGTTGTCTAATTGTCCACTATATTCACGTCTGGATGTGGCAGGACTACAGAGCTTAGATCTGATCTGTTGGTTGTGGTTGTGGGATCGCTTAGCTCTGTCTATCACTTGCTGCTTTCGCTGTTTGGCGTGCAAGTAGTTCTGTTTGATGGCTTCACCAGGTTGATACCTCATCTTCAGGTCTGCCTGGTGCTGCTCCTGGCATGCACTCCTGCACACTCCATTGAACCAGGGTTGACCCCCTGGCTTGATGGTAATGTTTGAGTGGGGAATATGCTGGGCCATGAGGTTACAGATTGTGCTGGAGTACAGTTCTGCTGCTGTTGATGGCCCACAGTGCCTCATGGATGCCGAGTCTTGAGTTGCTAGATCTGTGCGAAGTCTGTTCCATTTAGCACGGTGACAGTGCCACACAACACGATGGAGGTTATTCTCAATGTGAAGGCGGGACTTTGTCTCTTGCTGCTTCCTCCCTCATTACCTGCTGCAGACCCATTCTAGCAGCTATGTCCTTCAGGACCCAACCAGCTTGATCAGTAGCGCTGCTGCCAAGTCACTCTTGGTTGTTGAAATTAACCTCCCTACCCAGAGGAGTGAGATTTCCTCCAACAGGGTGTTCACCTGATGGTGTTTATCACGCCTTAAATAACAAACTGGGAGAAGGGTGATGTTGAAGGATCCAACAAGCATTTATTACAACTCCATCTCATACACAATCACTATATTCCACAGGCGTAGGTGAGTGGGTAATATTAAGCAACTAGTTTAACATGGCAAGGGAATAGACACAAAGTAAAGCCATCTCTTAAAACTCACTGCATCAAGTATTCTTAGGACAGGTATAGCATGGTGTCAGATACAGAATAAAGACTTCTCTATTCTTTTAATATAAAAGCAAATGGAAAATAAACTCCTTCTACACTGGCCTATCAAATACTCACAGGACAAATACAGCACAGGGTTAGAGAAAGTTTCCTCTGTTCCTATAAACTGAAATTCAAGCTACCTCTACTCTTTTAAACCGAAAGTAAGGTTCCCTGACCATTGTCACCATCAGACTCCCAACCACCCCCACCTGCATCTGCAATGCACACTTTCAGTAATTTGCTTACAAGGGACACCCAAGTCTGGTTTGACATTCCCCTCCCTCAGTTCATAGCCATTCAGATGATAATCCCTTTCCTATTTTTCCTGCCAAACTGCCCTTCTGTTTTTGCTGTCAAAAGCTATCCAGACCTTAAATATCATCTGCTTGCAGGTACTTGACACAGATTATTGATTGAATGAGAGAGAAAAAAAAGAAACATGATCCAAGATGCAGGATTGAAGGAAATAACTCCCCTATTGAACATGTTGACTTTCACAAAAGTGGCTGGGGCCCTAAGGAATATTTCCATGCAATGATATGATAGTACTACATGTGTGCTGATTCTCACAGTCAAACAAAGCTCATGTCTTTATCTCTCCACAGTAAACACAAGCTTGGAGCCTGTGTCAGTGCATTTTAATCTTTTCTTTCCTCCTCACAGCTGAAGGCAAGAGACAATCACGACAAGGCCATCACTTAATCATGGGTATTCCATAAATATCAAGATTTTCCTAACTTATACGACGAAGAACTGTAGTGTAGAACTTTTAGCTTTTCTCTTCATTTCTCTATTTTTGTACCTTTTTTAGTACCTATGATTCATACTTAGATACTTTGTACCGAAGATGGTGCTGTGTGGGGTGACATTGTACACATTTCACTGTACTCCTGTACTTTTTACTTTTGTACACATGACAATAAAGCTAATTCGAATTTTGTCTCCAGTGAGACATTACCAGTGTGAGGGGTGACGAGTGGAATGTAGCATGTTGTCCTCACACTTGTGGGAGAAAAAAAAATCCAGACACTGTTCTGCCTGTTGTACACTGCGGACTGAGATGTGAATTCCAAGAAACACTGAATCCCACCTCCCTGATATACCAATATGGTTTTATTTCAGTGCATGTATTCTCCTATTTCCATTGAAGCAGGCAGTTGCAACACTGCTTTCATGCATCTTGTGGGAAAAAAAAAATTCCATGAGCTGCAGTGTTAGTCTTTCAAAGGTTCTTTAAAAAATCAGAAAAGGGAAGTGTCGAAATAAAGAAGATTTTTGCAGAGTTTGTCAGTGTGTTTCACATACTCTGTAGAGCAAGGCACTTGAAGAGGCTGTTAGCTTCAGGATTGTTTCTTGACACGGGTTGTTATGCGAAACCATAAGCTGGATTCTCCCGTTCCATCAAAACAGTAAGTAACCCATTAAATGATTTATTATATATCTGAATTCAGACACAAATTCATTGGTAGCAACGTCAGATGGTGTAGCATTTCAGTACATTACTTGACTAGTATTTCAATAGAGCTGTTGTATTCTGTTGTTATCTAATTAGTGCATTTTTTCTGAACAGAGGGGTTAAGTTCCAATGCCACTAACAGTCTCGGTTAACAACTATTCACCCTCCGAGCCAGATCGTTGTCCACTCCTTTGTCTGTCCAACTGTTCTTCTCTCTCTTTGCATTCTGTCCCCACCTATTGTTTACTCCTTACTCCCACCCTACCTTCTACATAAAAAAACAAGAATTTCCTAGCTACCACCAGTTTTCAGAAAGGGTCACAGGACCCAAACATTACTCTGATTTCTCTTCACCGATGCTGCTGAGTTTTCCTGCAATTTCTGGTTTTATTTCTGATTTATAGCATCCTCAGTTCTTGTGGTTTTTATTTAGTATCCAACACACTTGGAGTTTACAAGAAATGAAAAAGTTGCTAATGCTGCTTGTCTGAGCCAGTGTTGAAGCTGTCATTTATATGCACGTATTTGTCAGAAAACTTTACTGACATACTTGCTTCGATGAGGCCTGACTCAGCTGTTGCTGATCTTCAGTCCTCCCTGAGACAAAGCACAGCTGGGGTCTAATCTCTTACACTGTATTTTATTTTAATGCCATTGCATTAAGTCAGAGAACAAGTCTTTGTGCCAGCAAGTCTATAAATTGCACACTTCTGAACAGAGATTCATAATTAGGGAAGTGAAGGACTTGAGTATATTCCTGAGAGAGAACAGAAACAGGAAGTGGTCATTTTGCAACAGAGGGACTTGGGAACTGGAGTGGGCCTTTCAGCCACTTGAACCTGCCATCCCATTGAATATGAGCATGCCTGATCAAATACTTCAATGCGTTTTACGCACTCCATCCCCATATCCCAATTAACAATTGGCAATCAGAAATTTATCAGTCTCTCCCTTAAATATACACCGAGATGGAGTGACTGTAGCTCCCTGTAGGTACTGAATTCTAAAGTTGAGCAAAATACCATAAGCCCTCATTTTGGACGTAAGTCCCAATTATTTTAAAACCTTGCCTGGTTCTAGTCTCCCCCAACCAGCGACTGTTAAACCTATATCTACCATGTCTCTTCCCTTTTAAGCATTGTGCAACAATGTTTTCAATAATATCATCACTCATTCATTGAATCCCTAGATAATACCAGCCCGGTTTGTCCACTCTCTCTTCATAGGATGTTGCCACCATCCCAAGGACAAGTCTGGTGAATCTACATGGAAATAACATATCTGCTGAGATAAGGAGACCCAAACTGCACACAGGACTGCAGGTGCGACATGACTAAAGTCTGATACATTTGAAACAAGACTTCACTACTGCTGTACCCAAATCTTTTTGCAGTAATGTCGCACATTCCATTAGCTTGCCTATAAGTGTCTTCAGGCATCAAGCAAGGCATCAGAGATTTAAACAAGAATGGTGCAATGTAATCATGGGTTTAATTTACATCTAGCTTGGATAAGACAAAGTGGTGGAGTATTTCCATGTGTATGTGTGTATATGTGTTCTGTTTGTTTTGTATTCATTTGTGAAATGTGGGCTTTGCTGGATGACCAGCATTTATTGTCCGTCCCTAGTTGCCCAGACCAATACCTTGAAGAACCAACGCGACAACAGGATATTCTATATGGGACATTTTGCAATGAGAAACAATGCATTAGCAATCTTGTTATGTGCAGGTCACTTGGGGAAGAGTGACCATAATATGACATCATTCTTCATTGAGGTGAAGAGCCAAGTAGTTGAACTAGAAGCTAGGATCCTGGATGTAAATGAAGGGAACTATGAGCACGAGAGGCACAAATTGACAAGGATGGATTGTGGAGTCATACTAAAGTGGTTGATGGTGGATAGGACGTGATTCATGCTTAAAGATAGTACCCATGAATTACAACAATTATTCATTTCTGTCTGACAAATGGAAAAGGGGGAAAAGTGGCTCAACAATGGGTTAAAAAAGAGATCAGGGAGAACCAAATAGCAGAGATGTAAAATTGCCAGAGCAAAGAAAACAGCAAACCTAAGGATTGGGAACATTTTAGAAATCAGCAAAAAGAGGAAAATAAATCTCGAGTGGAAAAAAGTGTTGGAGAGGAAAATTGCGGTGAGCATAGAAATTAGCTGTAAAAATGTCTATAAATATGTGAGAACAAGGAGTTTATAAAGGTAGATGTAGGGCAAGTGCAGTGATACTGGGGAACAAAGAAATGGCAGAAGATTTGAACAAATATTTTGCTGCTGTCCTCACAAAAGAGGGCTCCAGTAAGTGCCCATAAATGTTAGAGAACAAATATTCGGGTTGAGTGAGAGGGCCAATGTGAATGGGATCAGTATTAGGAAGGAATAAGTGCTGGGGTAAGTAACAGGGTTAATGATTGACATACCACTGGAACCTGATCATCCATATTCCAGAGTAGTGAATGAAATTACCCTGGAAACATTAGATGCATTGATAATCATCCAAAATTCTGTAGTCACTGGAGCATTTCCTACACGTTGCTGCTCTCTTTCATTTTATATATCCATAGAAGCTCTTTCTGTATATTTTTATGTTTCTTAACATCTTACTTTTGTGATCATTTTTTTCTGTTTTTAAGCATCATCTGCGTCTTCCTGAAAGATGTCCAATTCTCTAACCTACCTCCACACTTTGCTGCTTTGTCTACCTTAAGTTTTGAATTGGACAATGCTCATTGACCACCTTTTGTTAGCCACAGGTAATTCCGCTTTCTTGTTGGGTTCTGCTTTTTGACCTGAAATTTTTTTTTTGTTTTGTTTTCTCTGCTGGTGTTGAAACTTCTGCTTCCAAATCTAACACTGCTTATCCATGGAGATTGCCCTTAGTCTCTTTTTGTAGCCCCTCTTGTGGTGATTGGAACAATGTCAGCCAGCTGGACCTCATAGAATATGAGTTCCCTGTTTGGGGCTATTAACCTGGTCCTGTCAGGGAAGACGAGGCTTACAGATATAAACAGGAGTGTCAGGGATTCTGCTCATTCTGAGAGCCAGCTCTGTGCTGGCTGGTTCAGTGTCATGTACTGAGCACATGTAAATAAAGGTGACTTGGTGATGGGATATCAGCCTTCATTTAGTTATTTTAGTGATGACTGAGAAACACGCCCCTGAAGAGATTCGCTCACAACAATTGTCTTTGAATTGGGGTAAGGATTTCTGGCATCATGCTGCTATTTGGGAAGCTTGACTTGTTCGATTCAGTGGCCAAAGACTTATCCCAGTATATAGTTATTGTTTCCGGGCAAATAACATTGGGACAGATGAACAACGAGTGATTCTCCTGACAGGTTGTGGACCCATGGTAATATTGGTTATTCGGAGCCTAACTTTCCCAGAGGCACCAGATACTAAAATCTTTCAAGAGTTTACAAATTTAGCTAAGGAATATTACAACCCAAGCTACAACTAATTCTGAGTTGCTATTCAACAGTTTGAGTACCAGGGAATTCATATTGGGATTTTTTTTATGAGGTTAAGATGACTGGCAGAGGTGTGTGATTTTGATTTAAACCTAAGTGAGATTATGAGAGACAGTTGTTATGTAGGATTAATGACATGACCACGCAAAAGCGCCTACAAGCTGAAGCCCAATGAGACTTCAGACAGGCACTACCTTTAGCTTTGTTGTTAGAAAATGTGGAAAGTAGAGCTAACGAGTTACAGGGTATGCTGATAGACATAGACATCCTTGCCAGGCCCACTCAGCTTGGGGAATACTGCCTTGAATGAAGGCAAGTGCATAGCCTCACTTAGGACATATCCTAATTGGAAGGAGCCTCAGTAAGCCCACAGCAAAACCCCAAAACAAAGCCAAGCCTCAGCCAAATGGTTAGAATTTTCTCGAGGATCTGGGCTGGCAGGCCATTGAAGTTACTGCCAGAATGTGGTCTCAAGACAACAAAAGAGTCCCACTAAGCATGAATGGTGTAAGAGAACTCAAAGGCCAGTATCCAGGAGTGTGCACACCCTGGAAAATCCACCTACAGCTCGTTTAGAACAAGTAAATTGCTTAGTAATATCCAAATCACAACCAATCCAAATAAATGTCTGGTTAAATGGTCACACGGTTCTCATGGAGGTTGATACTGGTGTGGCTGTATCAATGATGGCAGAACTGGTCTTTACCAAAATTCGCTCTGGACTCCAAACTTTAAGGTTGCATAAGACCTCAGTCAGGCTGAGACCCTATACGGAGGAACCCCTATGGTTTAAGGGTACCACTTTGGTGTAGGTCCCTATGAGAAACAGTTTGTTCAGTTACCACTGATTGTGCTAAAGGTCATCGGCCCAAGTTTGACGGGGCGAAATTGGTTGAGAAAGATTGAACTTGATTGGCTGTACATTTTTCGATTAGAAAATGGTTGCCTGAGTGAAGTCCTAATTAAGTACCTGGATGTTTTTCAGGGAACTGTCAAAGGGGCCAGGCCACCTGACATGTTGACCAAGATGCAATTTCACGATTCTGCAAGGCCCACACAGTGCCATTTGCTTTATGGGCAAAAGTAGAGGCAGAAATCAGGAGGCTGGAAAGGAAAGGAATTGCCCAACCAGTATAGTTTGCGTTATGGGTAGCATTGGTTTTACCAATTATGAAGCCCGATGGGTTGTTTAGCCTTTTGTGGGGATTTCAAAGAAACAATAAACCAGTTTTCACAGACGGATAAATACCCAATCCCTCGCATAGAGGGCTTATACACAAAACCCATAGGAGCGATGGGGGGAGCGGGGAGGGTGTGGTGGCTGTCCTTCACGAAGCCGGACATGAGCCATGGGTACCTGCAATTGC